GGGGGGGGGGAGCGGAGGAAAAGCTAACCATGACTAACTGAAGAAAGTTCCTTCTGAGTTTCAACAACCCCTTACATATGATATTTGGGAATATAAATGGTACATAACCCAGCTATAAGTTTGAGATTGCCTGCAGTGTTAATCCTGAAACACTATAATGTTAAAATAAAATTACATCAGGTTAAAGTATTTGTATGCATTTAAAAATAATACTAACAGAATTTAGTCAGTCACAGAAGGACAAATACTGTATAAGACCATTCTTATAAGAACTCAAGTAAAAGTTTAAACACAGAAGAAAACATTCTTTGATGATTACGGGGGTGGGGAAGGAGGGGGAGGGTTACTCACTAACTAGATAGTAGATAAGTATCATCTTAGGTGAAGGGAAGGACAGCACACACTACAGGGGAAGTCAGCACAACTGGACTAAACCAAAGCTAAGAAGTTTCCTAATACAATGAAATACTTTGAGAGACAGAGTAGCAGGGATGGGGGGTCTGGGGACCATGCTTTCAGGGGACATCTAGGTCAACTGGCCTAACAAAGCTTATTAAGAAAATGTTCTGCATCTTACTTTGGTGAGTGCTGTCTGGGTCTTAAAAGCTTGAAAGAGGCCACCTAAGATGCATCAACTGGTCCCAACCACTTGGAGTAAAGGAGAACGAAGAATGCCAAAGACACAAGGAAAATATTAGCCCAAGAGACAGAATGGGCCACATAACCCAGAGACTTCATCAGCCTGAGACCAGAAGAACTAGATGGTGCCCGGCTACCACCAATGAACAACCAGACAAGGAGCACAACAGAGGGTGCCTGATGGAGCAGTAGAAGGATGGGGTGCAAAACTCAAATTCCAGTAAGAAGACCAGACTTAATGGTCTGACTGAGACTGGAGGCGGCCAGGAAAGCATGGCCCCTGGACTCTCGGCCCAGAACTAAAACAATTTCCGAGGTCAATTCTTCAGACAGGGATCGGACTGCACTGTGGGACATAAAGTGATACTTGTGAAGAGTGTGCCTCTTAGTCAAGTAGATACAAGAGACCAAAGGGGCAGCTTCTGGCCAGAGGTGAGATGGGAAGGCAGAGAAAGTTAGGAGCTGGTTGAATGGTTATGGGGAATCAGGGGTGGAAAGGAGGAGTGTGCTGTCGCAGAATGTGGTGAGCAATTAGGGTGTCATATCAATGTATGTAAAAAAAATTTTGTATGGGAGACTAACTTGAAATGTAAACTTCATTTAATTACAACAACAACAACAACAAATACTAACAATTGCTCAACTTGGCAACTTAATAAGGATAATCTTATGAGCCCATGTGTCCTGTTCTATGAATACAACTACCAGGCAGAAATTTTGTGCTGATTAGAAATGTATGAACTCGCCTAACCTAACAGTATTTAGAACATAGTAAACGCTATTAACTATCATTATCTAAAAATTCTTTTAAAATAAAATTGCATTGATTTTGTATTTGCAGAGTAAATGTTATGTATATAACTGTCCATCTTATTTTATTAAAAAATAAAATGTAAGTGTTGGAGAATTACTTACTCTCTTTCAAAGCCTTTCTCTATTTTGGCCTTTTTCTTCTGTTGGACATGATGAGGTATAGTCAAAGAATATTAATAACTCTGTGCTGCTCTCTAGTGGTAAATACAGAATATAGTCCCTTAGAGGTTTTTGTTGTTGTTTTTGAGAGTCATAAAATTTATTTCTAAAAATAGTCCAAGAAAATTATTATATGTCTATAGGTGTAAGAGCAAGGCAGGTCTGGGCTTTAGACAATGGAGAACTATGTTATTTCTTTTTTTTTTCCAGTTTTTTTGTGTGAGTGTGTGCTTTAGATGAAGGTTTACAGAACAAACTAGCTTCTCATTAAACAATTAATACACATACAAAACAATTTGTTTTTTTAATAACCTTTTTGAAACAGTGAAATTCTGAGAAACTCTAAGAAAAGCAATAAGAGAAAATATATACTAAAAAGGAAAAAAAAAAATCTACTTAAAACTGCTTGCTAAACAAGTGTTTGAGGTGGGGAGGGGAGAAGGGTGGGATTTGCCATTATAGGATCAGCTTGAAAGTTAATCTGAGGAAATACTATTTATTTAATCAGACAATAATGAAAACAACAACAAATTTAATGATAAAAGGATCTTTTCTCAAGCTATACTGCTTGATATTAACAGGATATTTTACTTATTTAAATTCTTATATCCTATATCTTCCCAAAAGGGACTTGAGGCAATTTTCAATAAACGACATATACAAATAGATTAGTAAAACAGAAACGGCAAATGAGAGCCAAGACAAATGAGAGTGCAAATAGAGTGACCAGCATGTTAACTAAGTTGCTAGGGTTGTGCTTTAAATTTGGATCTGAGCTTCCCAGTGACCAAGGAATAATCTGATATATTATATATTACACATTTCTTACATTGAAGAGGGGAGAAGGATTTACTAATCCCTAAAAAGAGACAACATTTTCTGGTCTCACTTCTAAATCTAATTTCTCAAGTAGATGTTAATGAATGATGTAATCAGCAAACTCCTGAAAAACAATTTTAGTGCAAATTCAGAAATGAATGGATTTTATTTCAGGGTTGGATTTGTTTTTTGTTTTATTTTGTAACTAGAAAGAGCTAAATGAATGTAGTTCAAGTTATCCAACTTAATCCAAACTCAGAGCAGTGGCTAGTATGTCTTTATGTATACTTTCTCTCAACCAGACTTAGGATAAGACTTGAACAGCATATAATTCAAGAATATATAACCTTTAGCTAGAGCCTAAAATCTCTGTTGTTTTCATATGTGAACAGCCTATTCATTTAAGTTAAAGTTCCTTGAAGTTAAAGGTCTATTTTCCAGTCCCTTTGTATCTTTCTTAGATGTATGGTCACAGTAGACATTCAGTTAACATTACTAATTTATGGATGAAGGAGGGAAATAAACCTGGCCACTAGGTGGTTTTTGTCTTTTCTTTTCTTTTTTTAAACTTTTATTTTCATTTTTACCTCGTAACAGTCTCCTCCAGGAATGATTTCTTGAATATATACCAGGGGACCTTCATTCCGGTTAATTCCTCCTAGGATCTTCAGACCCAGGCCTGTTTCCTTCATAACTGTAATTATCTGAAAAGCTTGATCTCTAAGATAAAATAAATTAGCATTCACAGGTTAGTCTAGAGATCTGGATCAATCTTCCTTTAAACTACTTTTTAAATCAAATTCTTAGACCTAGACAATTTCAAAATACTCAGTATCTACTAGCAACTAGATTTTAAAACGTATAGTGATTTAAAGGCAATCAAATGGATTTTCTCACCTGTATTTTTAATTTTACTTACAAAACTTAAAGAAATTATAACAATAATACCTATTTCTTTGGAGTAGGACAAAGGAAAATATTTTAAAATATTATGTAAATAAATTTAAAGATGCATTAAAGATGACTGAAGAGATTTGCTTTTAGCTGATTTTGGGACTACCCTGAATGATTCCAAAAATAAATATTTTAATGAAACAGGTAAATAACTTTAAAAGACATGTTTGTGGCTATTTAAAACAGAATAAACATGACTTCCATCTGAATCTCCAAAAAAAAAAAAAAAGCAGGGGGGTGGTGGGAACGAGAAGAGAGAACGTCATTCTTTTAGTTTAGAATGAGCCCCTGAGTGGTACAAACTAACATGCTCAGCTGCCAACTGAAAGGGTGGAGGTTTGAGTCCACCCAAAAGTGCCTCAAAAGAAAAGCCTGGTAATCTACTTCCAAAAAATTGGCCATTAGAAACCTTATGGAGCACAGTTCTATTCTGACACAAACGGGGTCACTATGAGTTGGAGTTGACTCAATGGCAATTGTTTATTTTTTTATTTTTTTGCTGTTGTTTGTTTTGTTTTATTTTTTATTTTCCTGGTGAAAAGTACTTGTATAGCTGTAATTTTTGCCAGAAAAAAAGAACAATGCCATTAGAAAAGTAAGCATTTTCAAAAGAATTCTCCGAATGGTAGATCTCGGAGTTGCTTTTCTAGACACTTGAGTCAGAGAATAAACTTTTACTGGTCAAACAGACCTTGAATAGAGTTTGAAATAAGGCTTCGGGCTGCTAGTTCACTTATGATGTACGAGGTATTGCATAAGTAATGTGATATATGTTTCGTGGTATAATAAAACTATTCTTAAATATAGGACTTCTGACTATCTTCACACATATCAAGCAACTGAAACTACTATTAAAAGAAGAGGTACCTCACATCTTACATATCACTATAGCTTTCAGAAAAAAGTTTTATTAGCTTTTGCCATAGAAATTCTCTCAATATCTTTAAGAAAACCAATGAGTTCAAAACTTACATCATAAAAACAGAAAAAAAAAATTTAAAAAGACCTACACAACTATTTGTTTTTGAATATTTTGCTCTCTCTATAGCACATCATTTAGGGTTGCATTATACTGAACTCACCTCTAGTACTGGAAGACCTATCTGGCTACTAGGACAATAGTTAATTAGCTAGAACAAAGGCAGAGAGAAAGACTGGGTCAAAAATGTTCTACTGATATGGATTTCAGCAGCCCAACATATTCTATAGATTTTAGGTTGCAAGTGCCATAAAGGAGTGTGGCCTAGGGAGGGAAGAAAGGAAACAGAGGTACCTTATTAGCAAATCTCTCCAGTAACCTCTTAAACCTTCTGAATCTGAATTTCTCTCAATGAGGGTACACACATTCTCCAGCATATATTATTGTTTCAGTAAAGGATCCCTCTTTTTCTAATCAGAACACAGTATCTATTGGGATGCTCTGTTGGGTAGCAGTGTATATATTTCAAATCTTTTTTTTTTTCCTATAAATCTACCTAAATTTTTAAAATTAACTTCACAGTATATAAAGTGTTTTAGATACTGTTTTTTTTTACCCAGCATTATTGTAAGTAATCTTTATGTTGTTAAAAGTTCTTCTTAAACATAAATTTCAATGGCAGCATAAAATTTACACATATAGTTAGGACGTTATTTTAAAATTCTCCCATTGTTAAGACTTTAGGTTACTTAATTTTTAATAATTTTTTGATATTAAAAATAGTTCTGCTGCTCCACTTTAACTGTAATAAGAGAATTATAAGTTAAAACTCTATGGAGATACTACTATTCACCTATCAGAGCAACAACACTTTAAAACTTCCACAACATATCTGATGACAAAGGCTATGGGGAAAGAGGAATCCTGTACAGTGTTAGTGGAAATGCCAAATAGTACAATTCCTAAAGAGGTAATTTGGTAATCTCTCAACAAAAATTTACCTTCTGATCCAGTAATCCTATTTCTTGGAATCTATCCCAAAAGTACTCTGTCAAAAACTACAAAATGACTTATACACTAGGTTATTCATTATGGCATAATTTGTAATCACCAAAGATTGCAAACAATCCAAATGTCTGCCATTAAGGTACTGAGTGAATAAACTATGGTACATCCACAGGATAGAACACAATATGGCTATAAAAAAGAACAAGGAAGATCTGTATAAACTGATTTAAAGTGAACACTAGGATATAATTTTTGTTAAAAAAAAAAAAAGCAAGGTCAAAAGAGCATATGTTACCTTTTAGTTAAGAATCTGCTGGGGGAGTGTAATTCAAACATGTATATAAGTATATGCATTTGTTTATACAAAAAGAAGCACTGAAAAAAATCAAGAAATAAAAATGGATACCTATAGAAGAAATAGGGCATAGAGTGAGGGACAAGAATGAGAGCAAGAGTACTCTGAATACACCTTGTTACCTGTATTATACGTTTGCAAAATGGCCACCAGTTCTTTCCATCCCTATCTGCATGTCTTTTTGGAATATGACTTTACTGTTCCTTCCATCAAAAGGTGAAGTCTATATCTCCACCCCTTGAATTTGGGCTACACTCTGTGGATTGCTTCAGCCAATGAGACACCAGCAAATGTGAGAGTAACAGACATTTGACAAACACTTATGCCTGTTGCTGGGAACTGTTCCACCATTATGTGAAAAAGCCTGGGCTGGCCTCCTGGAGAATGAGAGATCAGGTGGAAAGAGACCTCAGCCATCTCACCCTACCCAGGTGGGGTCTCAGAACATGTGAATGAAGCCATCCTACATTCTGTGGCCCAGACCAGAAGAACTGCTTAGCTAACCCACAAAATCATAAGAAAGAATAAATGCTTGTTTTAAGGCACTTAGGGGTGGTTTGTTACTCAGCAAAAGCTAACTCTTAAATTATGTAATTTTTAAACAGAAATCATAAAATACTTTATAGATTCAAAAATCAAATCAAATAAAAAATAAAAGCAATCCTTACAAATAGTTCTAAAAGAGAATGCCAAATCTATTCTATACATTGATTTACATTCAAATGTAATTATTGACAAACTTTCACATTACTACTAGCCTAGACCACAGTAAACAGCTAGCTTGTAAAAAACTTTAACACAAACTTTTATCAATATTATATATATTTCAAACTATGAACATTCAAAACATACTAAATTTTAATTTAAAAATTACTTTTCAAGTAGACTGGATGTTGGCATAGCAGATGTATTTTTATTCATACTTTTCACCACAGTAGCCTTGAATTTAACAGCTGCGTAAAGGAAGATCTTGATGAACAATCTAGAAAATCTTCTTTTCCTAAGACTGGAAATGTGGAAAATAAATTGTTAGGTCTTAGAACAATCAAATTTTATTCCAATTCTGGATAAAAGCATTATGCACACTCGGCACATAAATACTATGTACCTCTGTATAGATGTTAGATATATTTTATAAATTTTGGCCTATGACATTTTAGTCATTGCCGGTAACAACTGCAAAGTGCGAAGACAGTTCTCTCTCTCCCCCTTCCACACATATACGTGACTACATGTACATGCATATGTGTGCATATATATATTTACACATATAAAATCTGCATTCTCTGGCAGAATTGAAAAATACAGCTAAGCTTTAGGTAACTATTATGGCTTCCACCATTAGTAAGCTTAAAAACCACATAATAAAAAAGTGAGGGAAATGCCCCTTGTAAGCACAAGGCTAGGAAGTTTATAGTGAGAATGTTTGCAAAATAACTACACAATATACTATTGAAGAAAACAGAAATTCTTATTGTCTCACCAACTATCTTGAGAGACTCCCTGCAGATTCTATATTACTCTGACTCATATTACTCCATTTGCTTCTTCAACACTTTCCTATGAAAATAAAAAAATATGATTTTAACGTTTCATAAAGCCCCCACTGTTGAAAATTAAAGAGAATACTGGAGTTTCTTTTACTTAAATCATATTTAAGCAGAGGCTTACCATCTCTGATAAAAAATATGAAGCACAGAAACTTAAAGTTCAAAAAGACATTAGGATCATTTAGTCCAAAAACCAACCAAACCCATTGCCATACAGCCAAATTCTGACTCACAGTGACTTTATAGGACAAGGTAGAACTGCCCCATAGGGTTTTCAAGGCTGTAAATCCTTATGGAAACAGACTGCCACATCTTTCTCCCACAGAGCTGCTGGTGGGTTTGAACCGCCAACGTTTCAGTTAGCTGCCAAGAGCTTAACTACTGTGCCACCAGGGTTCTTTGGATCGTTTAGTGCAACCCTCTTATTCAGGAAATGAAGAGCTACTCAGAGAGACTGTGTGCTTTTCCCACATAAATGAGAAACAGTGGTGGTTTTATCAGCTGAAACCCAGTCTTTGAAGCCTAGAGTATGGAACTTAAGATCAGATAAAGCTGGGCTTCAATTTGAGCCTCAGTTTCTTCATAGGAACAACAGAATAATATCACTTAATTTAGAAGGTTATAGTAAAGATTAAATGTGATTTGGTAAGCAATGTATCTATGGATAGGTTATAATTAATGGTTATTAAATAGCTGTTAGTTCCTCTATTCTTCTCTCTTTCTTTATCGCCACACATCTCCCATTCAAAGGCTTCAGACTTTGTTGATAAACCCAAAATGAATTAAGATGACACAGGCCAGTGATTGCCTTGGGACTGAAAGGGAAGACGGGATAGAACACAGAGGGGCACAAGGAAACTTTTGGAGGTAATGGATGTTCATTACCTTGATTGCTGTGATGGTTTAACAGGTAGATACACATATCAAAACTTACCAGATTGTACATGTTATATAAGTGCTGTTTACTGCACACCAATTATACCTTAATAAAGCTTAAAAAAAAGATTTTTTTTAACCCAATTTCCAGTTAAAAATGACAACCTGGGAGTTCTGGCAAAATGGCGCTCTAGGCAGAAGCACCATGCCGTCCCTCCACAGCAAAGATCTGAAAAACTAAGCCGAACAGAGAA